TAAGTCACTTAATTATTATAATTTTTGTTAAGATTGAGTACCTTTTGTGCTCATATCAATAAAGTTTTTGGTTGATTAAAAAGAAAAAAATCATGCCCACTTGTTTCTTTGGCAGGTAAAGAAAGTTGATTTTACTAATTGCGGGACAAGAAATATTCTAATCTATTATAATATTATTAATCTACTTTACTCAAGATATAATTTACCACATATGAAATGCTTAATCATTCTCACGTTATGCACCTAACCTTTCAAGTCAAGTGGTTTTTGATCACCTTGAGGTGCACTCTTCTCTCTTTCTTTGGACGGGTCCGAATTCGCCCCATGACAACATTGTTAAAAGAAAAAAAAATCATTCTCACGTGACAAAGCTAGCTATTTGCACTTTGTTTTTTATAATCACATATGTCACATGGGGCCAAATTTTCCCACACAACGATTTACCATATTTTTTATCAAGTCCAAATACATATATTTACGATCACTATGTACAAATTGTGTGATTAAGTATTTCTATATAACAAAAAAAAATTGTAACAGCTTAATATTTAAAATATCATGATTATATGTGAAATTATTTAAATATTTTCAATAAAATTTTTATATATTAATTTATTAAAAACATTTAAGTATTTTTAATATCATTCTTAATATTTTAATTATTAAGATATCTTATATTATTATTATTATTATTCTGCAAACAAGACTTTACTCAAACAATAGTTCAACAACAACTACAGGTAAACAAAATGGCTCTTAAATTAAATTTACTAGGTTGACATAAATAACAAAAAGTCTAAAACTACATGTGTATCCAAAAAAACCCAAAAAAAAAAGGGTCTAAAACTACACACATATATATAGGATGATGAATTAAGCATCATATATATGCAATTTGCTCTCCCTCTATCTATTTCTTCGTATTCCTAGTTTCTTCACGAGATCAAGTTCCAAGAGGCCAAAAATAAAAAATAAAAAATCAGAGAGAATCTGAAAACTAATACTACTTATATATGCACAAGTTAATTTGCTTCATATGGATTCAGCTCTAGACTCTAGTAATGGGGAGCTAGCTAGCAGATGATATATATAATATATATTTAAAGTAACCTTGATTAATTTCTACCAAGTACCAACCCCCTATAGTTTAATGTGTTTCTCTTTCCTTATTTATTTCTTTTGTCATAGGCTCGTTAATGCTAGCTAAGCATGGAGCATCGAAACTTTTCGATATCTCGAACCAAGTTGTAGTCAGTGAAATTGCATAACATTGATCTAGTTGTAGTATCTTCTTCTTCTATGTCATACACTTAGATATACTGCATTATTTAAAATTGTACACTTAGATATACACTTAGATATTTTGTAGTTTAGACACCATTTCTGATTCCATCTATATGTAAGGATCAATTTGAGAAGATATACCACACAAGGACGGCCTACGTATGAGTGGCTATCGAAAAAGGTCGAAACCAGGCTGCTGAACTATATACAAGCAGATTTGGAACTCTTTAATTCCAACTAAAGTCAGTGCTTTCTCATGGAAATTACTCTAGGATAAATTGCCCACAAAGGTGAATTTATCCAAGAGTGGAATGCTAGACGACGCTACCCAAAAAGCTTAGCTGCAGCTGGTGCGGATCATCCCTGAATTGGCAGATCATCTCTTTGCATCATGTGATCATGCCTATAAGCTATAGATGAGATGTTTAAATTGATGGGACCTACAATCCGTCTTAGGGAACACCTGTGTGGACGTCCTCCATCAACGTAGATGGCAAGGGGGTCCAAAAAGTCCGAAAAGAGGGATGGAATATGATATGCTTTGCAGTCATGTGGTCTCTATTGGCAAGGAATGAAATTGTATTTCAAGTTCAACACAAAGAGTTTCAAGTGGGATTGTAGGGTACAGAATATTATTAAAAAAATTCTCATTAATCAATGAAAGAGGCAGACTACTTTGGATTAATTTAAAAAAAGAAGGTCGGTTTGATTAGGTACGCATTTTATTATAGTAACGACAAATTAAACAATTAACCCCACATGCAATTGGTATGTGGTCACCATTAACCAGATAATTCGAAAACCCAATTGTAATCTTAGATTACGTTTTAATTCGCCAATTAGTGTTATCATTTTTATTTAATCAATTAATTGGTGTATACCCTCAATGGGTGTTTCAACATATAAATAATTAAAAATTTAAAATTTTAAAATATCAACGAACTAAATAATTCAATAATTATCTCTTTCTACTGAAAGTAAGAAGTCATAAATTCAAGTCACATAACATGTGAGTAGACTAAAATAAATGATGAAAGATGGTTGCTCCCATTGTGCAACCAAAATAAAATAATAATAATAATAATTTTAAAATAAATAAAAAAATAATTTTATATTTTATAACTTATCATTTTATTATCTGATATATATATATATATAAAAAAAAGAGGTTAAATTAATGAGTTTTTCACTAGCCAACTAGTGGAATCAGTGGAGCTTGGCCTAACCAAAGGAAAATGCAGTGTGTTTTATTTTAATTTTTATGTGATTGTTTTTGTCTTACTATCTAATTGATTTTGTTTTGACCATTCGGGGTAGAATTTAGTTGGAAAATCAGCATTATTTACTTAAAAAATGAATCTACTGATGACAGTTCTTCTTTCCAATTTCTCTCCTCTTCCTTTTTTTTTTCTTTCTTTCTTCCTTTTTGGCCTCTTGCCTGCACTACTGCTTGCCTGGGGAAAGGAAAGCATTATGGAAGGCATCATGATTTCGTCACAGCTAGGCTCCCATGATATATTCTATTGATTTTTTTGAGTCTCTCACTTTTATTGTTTGAATTACATGGCACCATAAAAAAAAATTCCGAATAAAATAATATTTCACATTAAAAGTTTGTCTCTTATTTAAGAATTAATATGACATAATTTAATACAATTAAGATCATATCAAACATTTCTCCCTCTCCTTTTGTTTTTCTTCTGTCTCCACAATTATTAGTGTAAAAAAGAAACCATTAGAAATAGTTTAAATAAAAAGACTAATTTTGCTATTTTTTTCTTATCTAAGGTTATAAATTTTGCTTTTTAATTAAATTTACAAATTTTATTATATCTTAATTAAAATTATCATTTATCACGTTATTATTATAATATAATAAATCTTTAAATAAATAAATAACCCAAAGTTTCATATCCCCTTTTGAAAAAAAAAAAACAAAATTTATTCTCTAATTTAATTTTATAAAAAAATTTTATATTATTAAATAAAAAAAATAACAAATCTCGTAGGCCTTATATGTAATAAAAAAAAAACCATAGACTCTTTCTCCTTTCCTTTCCTTTTCATTGGGACAGTAAAAAAAACACAAAATTCAAGCAGCCAGAACTAGAGGTGCAAAATGAAGCGAGCTTTTGAATAAAACTATGTTCCTTTCCTTGTTTGACTTCTAAGTTCTAGTACGTTCTAACTTCATCCAAGAAAGAATTTAGCTTCGGTTCCCAAAAAATAAAAAAAAAAACTTCATCCTAGAAAGACATAGAAGGTCATGGTTCATTTCTTCTGTACGAGCTTCGTTGGGCTTCAGCTACTTGGATTACGATCCATTGGTCCTTCTTGGGCTAGTTCTTACACTCTCAATCCATGAAAAACTATGAAGGAAGAAACGTTGATGCAGTTTGGATACATTCCATACAATTTGCCTATGATTTGACTTCACTGAGGAATGGCCACTGTTCCCAAGCAAAGTATGGTCTAGAGATACATAAATCGGATAACGCTCCCAAATTTACTGCCCAAGGCAAAAGCCTAAGAGAACTCCACTTTGTGGTCCAATAGCCGTAACCCTTGGTTTAAGTAGAGATCACCGTCTGTGGGTACATCTTCAAACTCCACGGATCTCATTTCTCGTTCCCCCAAATTACCGTCTTATAAAAATTAAAAAAAAGGCCAAAGATGACCCAAGGGGACACAAATCTAATCATGCTATCATCAAATTTACAAGGTAAAAGTAATCTCCAGAAAGCAAAATCTAAAAATGAGCAAAAGGAGTCCACAGTGTATTAATTAAATCCCTAATACAGAGCCTTGGTCCTAAAATGAACTCAATTTGCTAACAGCTGCTGGTTCATTATGCATACACAACTAGTTTCTGGTTATCAAGACTTGTATAAATAGGTACAAATTTATTTTGGAGAGATAATGGGAAAGGGTTATTATCATCTTAAACAGTTCATTACAAACTACAAAAGTAAAAAGAAGGTTCTACACGAAACAAGTACTGCAGCACAACAAAGTCCATCTAGTAGTTGATGGTTCAACATCATGGTAGACGCAATAGCTTGTTCACAGCTGTGTCAAGAGCATCTACATTCCTCCGAATAATTTTTCTTAACAAGAATTAAGGGAAGGAAACACAATGGATTGGAATTGGATATATGAAATTGAGAGATATATTAGAGGATTCTTAAATTCTGGTTTGTATAATTACGTTACTAAATGCAAAAGTTGGGACTTGAGCATTTAGCTGTCTTCATCTCATGGGTAACACTACAGTAAATCTGTTGGTTGAATAAGCAGCTTAAATAATTTTTTCTCAGTAAAAAAATAAAGCTTAAAAGGACCAGGATAAGGAAGCAAAACATACTAAAAAATTTTTAAAAAGGATACAGTTCTGAAGCTAAACCATCAACACCTTTCATCTCCTCATTTAATCTGCAAAACAAAAATGAGTTAGTAAAGGCCAGCTACAACTGTCTCTATCCCAACACAGCAATTTACGATCCATACACTATTCAAAACCCCTTCTCAAATGCTTTAAAGATTATATTTTGATTTCTTCTTATCGTTTCTCAAAGTCTTTTCTATGTTTTCTTGTGGGATGGGGTGCAGGGGTGCTGAAATAGTACCTGAGACATGAATTTATATACCGATTCCCCTTTGTTGCTGCATCAAGTGCTGCAAAGGATGAGGATGGAAAGAATAAAACGTATCTTATCAGAAGCTGGAAGATCGATGCAAAAGTGCAAAAAATTGTCTTATGCAAATATTTTAAAGAAAACCAAGCCACAACCATAGCTCCATGAAAATTCAATCATCAGTTTGTTCTGTTTAAAGCATCAATGGCATAATTAACCAATCAACAAATAGTTTCATCTCACTTCTGCATCCCAGGGAAATACTGATTATCCGAGTGATTTGCCCAAAGTTCAACGTTTTAGTTAGTTAGGAACTTAGGATTGGTCAGTTTTTATTAGAATAAGCAAATGGTGGCATGGTAGGTTTAAAAGTTGGCATAGATTTGGTATTGATAAGGGATGGTTCCTACAGGAACTCAGAAAGAGGGTGTGGGCCTCAGGTAAAAAAGTTTGCTTACACCTTCAGACTTGTGAAGACAATCATGACAATGACTATCATATCTTAAAACATTGCTAAATCAATAAGCATAATTGTTGTAACCATGTTTCTTGTTCCCTTATTAACAACAAAGACAATAAAAAGCATTATGCATTTAACACATCATTTACCAGATTCTTGAAGCTGCCCTGCAGCATCAGCAAAGCACTGCATGTGATCAACTGAGCAGCTAGTGACCTACAATTTTGCATTCCTCCATAAGATACGTTCGCATCATGTCATACATCATAAAATTTCTTCAGAAAATATCAAAAAATTTCCAACAAAAAATGTCTATTTCTTTTCTAGATTTCCAAATAAAAGAAAAAAAAAAAAAACACAATTCCATCCAAAATTTTTTACTACTTTAGCTGCAGAACCAGTAACAGACTGTTTTAGATTTCAAATGCCAAGCCAAAAACTAATAATCTAACAACAAAACAGAATTATGCTCACTTCCATTATGCAAATTCCAGAGCATTCTCAGCAACCAAAGAGAAGTTACTTCAATTTGAGTCCAAAATTTCAACTTTCCTTTATCTACCAAACTTTTCTCAGCAACCAAACACATTACCATTGAATACAATCATCCTCGATGATACTAACATAAATTCCCAAAAATTAATCCTGAAACTAACCACAATAGAAGTCTTGAGTTCAAAAGTCAAATGAATTTTTCCCTAAAAATAAAAATCCTAAGAAGAAAAACTCTAGAATACTACAATCACGACAATCTCTTATCCTTTCCACAATTTTATCAGCAACCGAACACATTCTTAACAGAGGATCAATCAATTTACAATTTTACATAATAATCGAACTGAGTGTTAACATCTTAACGGAAATCTCGTTTTCCTTTCCTCCATCATTGCTAAAGAGTAGAGAACCAAAAGCACCAGGAAAAGGGAAAGAAGAAGAAAGGAAGAAGCAGACGCCTACCTCAGAGAGAGCCAGACGAAGCGAAGCGAAGAGAGAGGAGAAGCTCTCGGCGATAGCAAGAGAATCTCTCTCCACCACCTCCACTGCTTTCAGGATATCGCTCTGGCTAAACTTCGGTTTCGATTCGATACACTCCTGCCCATGGGAGTCCAGTCCGGAAGTCGGAGTCGTGGTCGGTTGATCCACGCCAGGTTCCGTGATCGCAGCTACCAGCTCCGGCGATAGATCTATCCCATCCGTCGCCGCTTCCGATGACGACGCCTGTGATGATTCATCCATTTCCCGCGAATTAAATTGGTCTTCTATAATTAATCTATATCAGTTTGGAAAACTAATGCCTTTTTTTTGGCCCCTAACCTTAAATTGGGATTACATTGAGTAGAAATTTATTTATTTATGAGTTTTAGAGATTATATTTATTATATAAAATTTTAATTATTTATGCTTTTTAATAATTGACATTTATTATAATTCTAGATATAAAAGAAAAATAATAATTATTAATAAATATAAAAAAGTTAAATACATTTTAATTAAAGAAAAAATAAATAATTAAAATTTTATATAAATATAATATACATTATTTATATGTAAATAAATTCAAATTTAGTTACAATTAATTCCCAAACTGATTTTTAAGGTAATCAGATCTATAAGGTAGCACAAGCAACTGATTTTCAAAACGGATTTTTTTTTATTAATTTAAAATTTTGTTGAAAGAAAATATAAATTTAGCTTCTTCTTTTTTTTGTTGAATAAATTTAGCTCTCCATGTAGTTTTAAGATGAGGTAAAAAAAATTTAGTGTAGCAGGGTAGGATGATATTGTGCAGTTCGAGGGATTAATGAGAAAAACTTGCCAAGAAATCAATTCGAAAAGTTTAGAAGAAAATTTCACCTCTAAAAGTTGAGATTCTAGTGCCAACAGAGTAAATATTTTATATGTCAACGATTTAACTAATTTAATAATTATTTTTTTTTGTTAAAAATGAAAGACCCGCTATATATTTTTTCTTTTAAACGAAATTTTAGAAAATTAAAGTAAATATTTGAAATGCCAACAACTTAAATAGTTTAATGATTTTTTTTTTTTTGTTAAAAGTAAAAAGTCTTAAATTTGAGTCACATGGTATGCGAGTAAAGTAAAACAAAAAATAAAAGATGATTGCTTCTTATTGTAAAAAAAAAAAAAGGTAAATACCTCAAATAAGAAAAAAAATTTGGGCTTAGCAAGTAGCGGATTCTGGGGATTTTTTTTTTTTTTTTGCCAGAATATGCTAGCAACCAAACACAACCTCAATGGCCAACCGGGCCTGTGACCCAGTGGTTGGTTAGGCTTGGGTGAGGCGGGAGGTTAGGGTTTCGAACTCTGCCACCGCTGTGAACTTCACTAATTTGCGACTTAATGGTCGCG